GCTCGTCTCTGGTATATTGATCACTTGTACAGTACATCGGAAATATAGGAAAAGTTATGTAAGGACTCTAAAAACACTATCACTGTTTTCCGCAATTTACTCGGCAAAAGGATTGTCATTTTTCAGGGTCATTCAGTTCTGCATCTCACTCAGTATCCCGCAGATTCTCTGAAATTCATTGTACGAGCTGGGTATTCCAGGTCTCGACTTCCTCGGGTAATCATCTCTCCTCCTGTCCCCTTCCACTTGAGCTCTAATGCATTGGATCTGCAGGGTATTGACCCTTGGCCCTTCTTTCCGAATCGACGCCCAAGCAAAGGCTACACTCGGTCGGCATTCATTATCATGTTGATAAAATGCAATTGGTGTTCCCACCTAACAAAAAGGCCGCCTCTGGTGGAACCTTCCAAGTCGGTGATACTCGTACGTTTCGACGTTCGCTCGCCTTCGATGTCTCTTGATCATAATTTATTAGCCATCACGCTTTCTGTGAGCCCATCTGCAAAAGCCACGGGCACAGTGGAAGCACATCTCATTCCGAGCCTGAATCTCGGCATCACTGCGTTGAATGGTGCAGCTGAAGCGAAAGTCTCCCTCGAGCTCGACGCCTCTTCTTCCATGAAGCTCGACCTCGGCGGGACCTCTGAAACTATTATTCCTCTCAATCCGCCATGTGGGTTTTTTTCTGAGTCGACCGTGCCTGAGTGAATAAGTACCAACAACGCTAACATTATTACATAGCGCCTTCTTCCGCCATATCAGTTCCAGCGCCAATACCCTCTACTATAGCCGCCTTTAACGGCTGCTTTGGAATTGGCGCCGGCTTCAACGTTAACGCAGGCGCTTCTGCCGCTTTGTTCGGCATATTCAACCCTAAGGTGAAGTTGCCACTTCTCTCCAAAAACTTCGACGTCTTCAAGGTAAGTTTTAGTTTGGGTAAGGCATCCATAATGACGTTTTATAAACCATACGTTCTCAGAAATGTTTTGGTACATCAACGGGGAAAAGGAGCGATATCGTCGACACCGACATTTGGGATTACATGTCCGTTGATCCTGCCAGCACATTGGAGGATCGTGCTCTTGCGTTAACTTGCCCTGTGTTGGGAACGCTCCCTTTGCTACCTATTGCAGACCAAACCATCCCGGTGATTGGGTGAGTTCTGTGTTATTATCGTTAATTTCACCCAGATATATTGACGACCTGTTTTCTTCAGCATTAAAACATTATAAGTGAATTCGAGTTTTTTTCAGCACTTGCAACGTATTAGGACTCTGTACTTGAATAAATTTTCAACATCTTCGGAATATTACCTGCATCGCCACTTGATTGGATCTGGTTTGGATTTTGTAGGATCTTGTTTCCCGAAAACCTGGCATTGTTGTCCTTTTCTCTCCTCCAAGGCTCCTCCTTCCAACCTCCTTCTGTTCTACGATCATGCCAGAGGGCTTCTGGTACGAGCCCGGAACAGGTGAATACCCATCCTACCCCATCGGAGTACACCGCTTACGGAGACTGAGTGGGGCTGAGTGCACCGCTTACGCTCTTACCGGCATTCACTCTTTTGTCACTGTGTCGAGCGGCTGACAGGGCCTGGACCGCCTGACAGGATGCA